AAGTTTCAGCTCATTATATGCATTACATTCCGAGATAATCAAAAAGTCCTGATACTTTGCGGACAGACCACGTACAGCACGGTGCGAGCCGCGCATAGTTCAGCGCCTTACAAGACAACTGGATACTTCATGCATTGCGCGTACAGCACGGTGCGTTGGGTGCGTACTCTCCAGTCGTTGAAACGTCGTATTTTCTTGGTGTCAAGACCAATCCACACAGGTCAGTCGTTCCCGAGGACGAGTTTTGGTACTCTACTGCGCAGTGACGTAGTATTGAGTGCCTGCAATGTATTTCTAATGGAAGCACCCATTGTGACGTAGCATTGAGTGCTGCGAGTTAGGGCCGGGCGGGGGAGTGGATTTCAAAAAAGCTGCGCAATGACTGACCTGTGTGGATTGGTCTTGCTTGGTGTCGAACCTACCCCGGTGTGCACCATCTCCGAAAAGTGCACACCGCGAACTTGCAATCCTAGGATCACAGGATTGTGGAGATTTTGCAATCCTATATGTTTTCGGGTGAAAATTTAATTTAGGATATTTTTTTGATAAATCGCGTTATATGTATTTCTCACCTTCGCACAAAACTGCTGCATTAATGATTGGTGCAGATAATATGCTCGCATCGTTTAATGAGTCAAGTTGATCAACAGCGTGACTGGAAATTTCAAGCCACAATGTTGGCTTAGTCTTTTTTTAAAAAAATATATGTAAATTAGGAGTGGAGATTTAGACACGCCGCAATCGAAACACGTGATATTGCAGTTCATCAATAGTTTCTTTCGCTATGAAATGTTTTATTTGTGACCGGGTATGGAAAAAAGGGTCTTAAAGCGAATAAGACACAATTTGAGATTTATATACTTACTTACTTACTGTTGTTTAAAGAGGTTGTTCACATGTTCGCATCACCCACCGGCAATAATAGCCAAACAATGGCTTTTTACAGAGCGTTATTGAGTTCGCTAGGTCGAAAAGTCGCGATTTCGAGAAAAACAGTCAAATTGAGCCAACGCGCTGTTGCCAGCTTTTGACTTATTATTTCATTTCCAAAGTTCAATTAAAGTTTTTAACTTAAGTTAATAATGGTAATTTTGACTTGAAACGTCGACAAAATATTTTCGATTAATTTTCATCAAAAACGAAAATCGCTATTACTGACCCGAATAGCGGTTTCTCACCCTCCTGTAAAACTTGAATTTTTACTTTGAGTCCCCTTTTCCCATGCCCGATCACATTTGGATTGCATTTTGCAATTTGGAACTATAAATTCTGGCTCATCTGAAAAAACACTTATGTGCATAAGGAAACTAATGGCACATACGTTGCTTTTAAACCGGGCCAGAATTTATAGTTCCAAATTGCAAAATGCAGTCCATTTGTCGTATTATAATTGTGAATAGTTACGATTGAGTGCTCGACGAAGAGTCTGCTGGCGTTGGCATCGATGACGGAGAGCATGTCTTGGAACCAATTGAGTTGATTGCTGGCCCGCTCGTGGCTACTCTGGAGCTCGATGAGTTTGTTATTGAGGACCATCATCTCCTGCGACTTGCTCACCGTCAGCTCGACCATACTCTTCCGGTATCCCTCCATCGCCGCCACCTCCGCTCCTTTCCTCTCCTCCAGCTCCCGCTCCACCGAGATCAGGGTCCGGTACCTGTCGATCACCTCCTTGATCGAGTTGAACTCCGGCAATGACTCCACCACACTCTTCAAGTAATCCTGTCCACAAGTAAATTCAATAGTTTTTTTTTATTAGCTCAACTTCAAGCACGTATCCCCCTCCCCCTCTCAAGCCAGGGTGTCTACAAATCCGGAAAGTCCGGAAATAGTACTGATTTTTTAGGGCGGTCCGGAAGCACTGAAAAAGTGGAAATTCCGCAAAAAGATCCGGAATTTTTTTAAATTTTATGTCATTTTTGACTCCACCACACTCTTAATCTTGTGCACAAGTAAATTTAATAGTTTTTTTTATTAGCTCAACTTCAAGCACGTATCACCCTCCCCTCTCAAGCCAGGGTGTCTACAAATCCGGAAAGTCCGGAAATAGTATTGATTTTTCAGGGCGGTCCGGAAGCACTGAAAAAGTGGAAATTCCACAAAAAGGTCCGGAATTTTTTTTAATTTTATGTCATTTTTGTCGCAATTTCAAATTTTTGAAATTTTTCGAATTTCGTCAAATGTAGGTACTGAAAAAGTACGGAATTTTTCTGTCGGAGGAGGTACTGAATTTCTTGATAAGGTACTGTAAAAGTACTTATTTTTGATCAGCTTGTTTTAGTAGACACCCTGCAAGCCCCCTTCCAACATTAGGATTCCTTCTCAGACCCCCCCCCCCCCCCACCCCTTGCCGGCTAAGCCGCCCAAAATCCTGGCCACACGTCTGCCCAACTCCGAAAATAGGAGGCCAGAGGACGAGAAAAACGGAATTTAGCCGAAAATGTTCGATGAATGGGAGACGACTTTGGCACACGTTACACAGTTCCAGCTAAAAGTGCTCCCTATCCAAAAACATTTAACTTTTTGGTCCCTTATTACTGGTGCAACATGAACATCCCTGGAGTTGGGGATTTTTCGAAATTCGTGCTTGTCTTTTCAATCTAAAATGAGATTAAAAGATTTTTATATTGAGGGGTGGGGAGAGGGGGGCATTTCAAGACCTTTAGAATGTATAAACACTCTTCAACAAACATATTAATTGTTAAATTCTAAAAAAGAGTACTTTAGTTTGAGGCTTTCAAAGCCTAACAAACTTCCGATGGGCCAGTGAACCTACAATTTCAAAGAAAAACGTTTGTAACTTTTCCCAAAAATGAGAAGCTGAGTAACTTTCTAATGCTATCACGGCTTTCCCTTTAATCACGATGTAATACTACGACGCTCCTGTTAGTGACTGAATACTCACCTCGTAGATTTTGTACTGGTCCACGTAACTCTGCATGACGTCTCGAATTTTGAGCGACTCCTTGATTTTCTCCTTCAACTCATTAATAGACGAATCGAATTTCTCCTGTTTTTCTTTTTCAACCTTAATCACGTGCTCCGCTCGTTCTCGCTTTTTCTCGTTCTCCTACAAAATTTTAAAAACAATTCCTAATCAACTAAAAGTGCTCATTACATACAATGTTTAAGGACTAAATAGAAGAAAATGAAATTTTCCTTCGAGATTTCGATCAAGGTGACCAATTGTTTATCCTGCCCTAATCTATGCGGCACATATGTGATGACATTGCAAACCAATATTTTGCCAATTTGTCAAGTTTCTTCCCATTTATTTTCCAAACCGTTCATCGATCCTCCGGGGAAAACAGCATGTAGATGCTCTCCTCCGAATTTTGTCTAGATTTTAGGGAATTTTAAGGCGGCAAAATGAAGGTGGAGAGTGAGAGAGAATTATTGACTTCGAATGCCACAGCGAGCAGGGACAAGGAGAATAAGGCATCTTATCAGGTTAAAAAGTAAATGAAATTAAACTAATGAGATGTGAAAGTCTCATAATCACGATTTGAAATGTTGCAGATTTTTTGTCACATTTTACTTTTTCAAAGGCCAACAACCAACAATGTCCTCTAAAATTTTTAAATTATTTTTTTTCCAATTCTGTGTTCTAGGGAATTTTAAGGCGGCAAAATGGAGGTGGAGAGCGAGAGAGAATTATTGACTTGGAATGCCACAGCAAGCAGAGACACAGAGAATAAGGCATCCGATCAGGTTAAAAAGTAGATGAAATCAAACCAATAAGAAGTAAAAGTCTCATATTATGTATCTCGATTTGTGAGTTTGCACATTTTTTGTCACATTTTACTTTTTCAAAGGCAAACAACCAACAATGTCCTCTAGAATTTTTAAATTATTTTTTTTTCCTAACTCTGTGTTCGAACATTTTGTAAATGCTTCGAATTAAAAAGTTCATTGAATTTTCTTCAGAAAATTCCAACAACAGCTTCTCCGGAGTTTCTCATGTGTACTGAAATCCCGACACATACAATTAGAACTTTGATCCTAGCATTAGTAAGAGCGATTCGGCAGAGAGCGCGAGTGCGTATTAGTCAACGCAACGGGACGAATCCGGCCTCCCTTCAATTTAGCGGATATGCAATACGGACATCCGCCGAGCAGGTTTAGTTGTATCAAAGCGCCTGGCGCTCTCAACGTGGCCAATGCAATGCTGTCGGTCAGAGCTCAGTCATTCAATATTCTATCTCGCACCCGTAGGACTTTTCTGCCGTGTCAATTAAAAACGCCAATGAGTATTCAAATGTTGCCAAAGTTCATCTCAAAAATGATTTATTTTTGAAAAATGTTTAAGTATTTTTTTAAAATTTTCAGACACTTTAAATATCATTGCGAACAAAATTCTCTGAAAAATTGGAAGAATAATATTTATAAATGTTGTCTAAAACTCGCGATTTGTCGCAGTTTGTCAACAGAAGTTTGGCAACGTCTGAAAGCGCCCGGCGTTCTTCCTTATAGCACGGTAGTATTCACCGTCGAGTTTCCAAAACCCTTCTATACTCTTAAAAAAAGAATCGGAGACAAACCTACAATTATGAAAGTTTGATGGTTGGGGAAGGATTCCATAACTTCTTTTTGTTTCTGTCGCAATGTTGCCCACTCTGAGTCGAGTAGATCGCGATACTGCTTATTCTCCTTCCGCTTCTCCTCTAAAATCTTCTCGGTCTTTTGCAGCTCCTTTTTGACGACCATTAAATTGTAGGCAGGCGTGACGGATGGCAAATCCCATTCTGGGTACACCCTGAAAGTACAGATCATGTCTGTCACTTTTTTTCCAGTGTCACGCGGTTTTAAGTTTGTTAAAAGGAAACCTATAGTATGGGAAATAGTTTACCTCCATAGTTTAAAGTATGTAATTTAAGGTGGCACATATCGATGACCTGCAAAGAGCGAAACCGCGCATCTCCGTTTGCAACGTTAAAACCTGCCTCTCATACATTATTTTTTCTTTGAAAAACTAAGTAGGCAACTTAATTTCCTTCTTGTTTTACCCGATTTTTTTTTTCTGTGCATCAGAATATTCAAATGAGTTTGCTCGTTTTTCTTCGAAAAAATTAAATAGGAGCGGACGTTTTTAAACACCGTTGTGGAGATACGAACGTGGTTTTACACTTTAGCCATCGATATAGGCCGCTTTATTTGGTTATGACCGTACTTTCGGCTCCAACAACCACAAATTTGGTTCATGTAACCGAACTTTCTCACTGCAAACTGGATAATGACAAGAGATTGGTTGCTTGGACCGATTTTCGTAATGAATCAACTTTTATTCCAAAAAAAGTCTGCTTTCTCTCAATCGTTTGAAGCAAAATTATCGATTTACCTTTCTTGAAAAATCAGGTCGACGCACAGCAATACTGCCGTGCCAAGGAAAAACGCCGTACGAACATTCGAGAGTTGCCAAATTTACTTCGATAAAATGTTTATTTTTGAGGCAAGTTATGAATATTTTTCCTTGAAATTCTCAGGAACTTTAGGTAAAATTGTGATCTAAATTATATGAAAAATTAGAGGGAAAATATTCATAAGTTTACCAGGAAATTTGTGTTTTATCAAAGGAAATTTGGCAACGCCTGAAGGTTCATACGGCATTTTTCCTTAGCACGGCAGAATAAAGATACGCGTTTATGATCATTCATTTGTAATTTTAAAACTGCATCGCAGCGTTCCGAATTTCTGAAGATATTACAATTTTTCACTGGAAAACCAATGGCCATGTGATATAACTTACCTAAGGCCAAAAAATGAGTGGACATAGGTACAATAACAAAGAATGAAATAGAAAGATACAAAATAAATGAAAGCAGTAGCATCCTTAGGAATTCCAAAACATTGCAATGGGATGTACTACTTGCGCCCTTACTCGCGCTAACGGCCACCAATAAAAGCAAGTCCATCAATCTGTTCCAATGAACAGAATACCACTTTAAGCTGAGGAGGGCTTTCTGGTCAATTTGAATCAAAATTGTCTCAGGATATTTGGGTGGATTCTTCGTACTTTAAGTGATCTAAATTTTGCTCGGCGGAAGAACATATATAGTGGCTCAGACTCCTAATCATTTGTAATGATTGGTGAACTTACTTCGTTTGTTTGAAAAACTGACTTGTTGCAAATTGCTCAGAGACTGCCTTATGAGGTAGCTCACCCTTCGGAAGGACCGATTTTTTCCCGGCATTTTCCTTTTTCAGAAATGTTGGTGCATCCGGATCCATCTCTCCTAAAATTATAGATGATGACAGTTTTTATTTCTCTCATTTAACACCCCCATTTTCTTAAATCAAAATTGTTTGTAGCTAATGGTGATAAAATCTAAATAATTCTTCGTACAGTCGACAAGCGATGGCATCGATATGAAAGTCAATGAGCAGTAGTTGTATCGAAAGAAACTATGCACAAATGAATAAAAGAGGGGAAAAACCGAGAAGCACGCAATTGTCGGTTTTAGCCCAATTGCAGGTACATCGATCTTTCAGAGTCAAATACGTCCTCTTTTGAGCGTTTGGTTGCGCTCACACCACGCTGCAGTATAGTAAAAGCACAAAATATAAGAGAAAAAATTAATGTGCTTTTGAAACTCATTAAATACGACATGGAAATACCTTAATATTTACAAAACACACATTAAATTTTCCTTTCATATATATATTTTGTTTTATCAGTTTAAGTTGAAGTAATCCTCGCAGAGTTTGCAAACATACCTATACAAATCATGAGTTGAAAAACGCTGCCTCCGCGAGTTTTAATAATAGGCCCTTGCATAAAGCGGAGTGATGCGACGTGCTGCCAGCACGGAACGCGCACTGGCGCCTACAAACCTAAGCAGATACTTCTCGCATTCCGCAATGCTTGAGGTATCTCTTAGGTTTGTAGGCGCCAGTACGCGTTCCGTGCTGGCTGGCTGGCCGCGCCGCAGCGTGCCACGTGCCACGACGCTTCACTATTTCACCATAGAAGTGTTGTACAGTATTATCTGAAATTGTAGGCACTCCAACATACCAACAATAAGAATAACAGGCATCCTTTAAGAGTACAGAACTTTTCTTGCAAAATAAGTCGAGATAAGAGAGATAAAGGAACATTCTTGAGTATGCCGTCAAGAAGATTTTATTTTGAATCAAGAATAAAATAGGTGAACTAAAGCGGGTTTTTGATTGATGTAAGTGACTTTCCTTTTTATAAAAGCATGGAAGGGATTCCTTTTTATAAAAAGGAAGTGTCTTATAACCTGACGTAGAGTAGTACAAATTGAAGTATATAACAGGAAGTCTGCAACAGCGCAAGCACGCCGTGCATACACAGGTATTCTAGTAGTTCTTTTTCCCCTAGGATGAACGCCAGTGGAATGATCGTTATAAATTTGCATTAAGAAGTATGAAATATATCGTAAGTGTAGAGTATATGAAATTTATTGATGGTATAAATTTAAGTATATGAACAATATATAAAGATATGGGGAGTTTCCTCATCGATATGTCATAAGTAAGTGTGTGTTTATATTAATCTTTTTACACAATACGATTCCTCGATACGATTTCTTCTTCATACGATTGATATTAACAGAAATAAATTGGGGACACCAAATATACAGCAGCAAGCAGTGGCCAACCGATAGCAGTGCATTTTACAGGGTTTACCAATTTTATATTAAAAATCTCACTGGCGTGTACGCTGAGGAAAAAGATCTACGGGAATGAATGAACTTAATTCAACTGAGAATCTTAGAACGCACGTACCGTTGAAGATGGAATGTAGAAAACAAACTAGATCCCCATGACAACCGCTGCAATGAAAGACACTCGGTAGGAATACCGGTTGCTTGATTCACACATGCGTGTCACGTGAGCACAGGAAAAATATTTATTGGCTAAAGTGGAATATTAGCTGAATATTCCGCAAATATTCAGCCAACATTCTGCGATTCATCAATGAATACATTAAAATTTGAGTTGTGAACGGGTATACATTTCGGCATGAGCGGAAATGAGACGGGGCTGGCCCTCCCCCTTCCCCCAGAAATCTAATAAGTCCCCACCAAGAAATGTGACGGATTTTGCTACGCAAGTGTTGGACCCATCTTTCATCGTTGACATTGTAATTGGATCTAATTTTCGATGAGAACAACTGAGAACTGCTTCCGAGACGACTCAATTTTTCAATACCTATTTTCTCTGAAAGAAAAAGAAGAAAATATCATCCTTTGAGAAGAGGGATTCACCAATCTCAGCTCATGAGGTCATTAACCCATTTCCCTCCTCCAGCATCCCTCGCCAAAATTGATTTTATTTTGAAATCATTAGAACTTTACCTACAAAGAAACATGGTTTTTACACGATTCTCGAATCTTTGTTAATAAATTTCGTGCCGTGATATGTTCTATGGAGATTTCTAACCTTACGGGAAGGTCCGTGCGAGGCAGGTAAAATTCAGAAAGCTTTGCGCTTTTGGAAAGAAGCCGCTCACGCTTCACCCTCGCCGCGAGTGAAGCGTTGAGTGCCATGCGAGTCAAAACCCCTTCAATTTCGTGCGTATGCAATACGGACATCCGTTAAGGTCGAATAGTTGTATCCAGACGTTGTACTGAAATTCCATCATTATTTACGTTGCATGCAATACTGCCTGAGGACGCTTGTTTCTTTTCAACATCAACTTCATTTCAGTGTTTCTTATTTTGACGATGAAGTAAACTTTTAGTGATTTTTATCGTGACATGATCAATTTTCCGGGGAAAAAATCGATTGGTCAAATGTTTCTCAACATTGCCGGTCCTTAAAATCACAAGAATTGTAGGTATCTGAGTAAAAGTTCCTGAGTTTCTTTTAACTTGCTTCAAGAGTCGTCTTTTGCTGGATTTTCCCCCCTCTTAATATAATACCTTTGACGAAAGAAAATTATTTTTTAGCGGTAGTTTTCGTTAAAAATGATATCTGAGGGGCTTGGAGGATAAGGCGCATAAGTACAGTTTTTGCTGTGTCGAAAAAGACGCGTTGAAGTTTCAAAATTAGGTACATGGATCCTTAGGTATGCCGGAAAAAAGCTCAAACTGACTATTTGATGCTGAAAAATTGGAGTTTGGGAGCTAGTTTACTTAAAATCATTAATATCTCATTTTTTTTTTCAAAAACTGCACGTATGCGCCTTGTCCTCCAACACCCCCCCCCCCCCC